ACTAAGCCTCATTTTGAATTTTCAGTGCATTTATATTGTACACCGGTAATTTATTCCCAAAGTAAAACCATTGTGAACACTTAGAAGAGTAGATCAAGGGGAAGTTTTTCTCCCCTGCCCCCACGATGTGCAAAACCTGGCAAGATTATTATTTGAGCCAGTAACACTCACTGCTTAGTAAAATAAAGCATTAGATGGGGAATGTTCTCATCTGCCCAATTTTCCCAGATGGAAAGTTATATTCATAAAAGATGCTTAAGGTCATACCTATTTAGTATTAAAATGTCTCCTCACTCAGAAAGCTTTCACCAGGACCTCATAAGAATGACTTTTATTTTTGTCTGGCAAGCAACTTATTAATTCTAGACTTTATATACACTTTCAAATTTCCATTTCACAGATTCATTTTTAAAGTGTCAAAACTGCCATGGCATATTCTCAGTGGAAATTCATCATGTTTGAAGAAGTGTCACCACTGATTCTTACCCAGTAGCCTACACTTTCCTTTGAGAGTAAAAATGCATGTTTAAAGCACCCTAAACTCCCTCTAATACACTGCACACTCTTATTTATGCATAAATTGCTTTCATCTGAAGCGTCTATTTTTATCACCTCTCTCAATAGGTGATTTTTGGATTCTTTGTTTTATGGGGTTTTTGTTTTGTGTTTCTCTTGAGTCTGAAACCCACAGTCTCAATTCTAATGACTTCCAAGGGAAGGACAGCTGTTTATGTAAAGAGACTGATGCTTGTGTTGGTTTAGAGATCTTGATGAACGTAGTGGTCACTTTGTGCTTTTTGGTGACCTGAAGCTTATCTTGACGTGTATACTCCGGTTGATGCTGGCAGTTGTGAACAATTTAAGGTTGTGGAACTAGTATATCTAAGTGTTATTTCTCTCATTTTATGAAACTCTTAAAGAAAAATCAGTGTCAAAAGATTAGACTAGGCCCATTGCAGCCAATGGAACTATCTCAATCTCTCTTCCCAATATGATTAGCCTAAAATGTGATCTGAATCAAAATGACTTCTTAGATTTGTGTGCTTGTCTTTGTTCTCTAGTGACTGAGGCAGCAGTCTATCTATGAACGGTACTAGTGGAGCAGGCCATGTGATAAAGGAAATATAGTACCAATAAATTTCCCCTTAAGTAGCTCGGCAAATGCCAGTTGGCTTGACTGTAAGATAACGTTATTGTTTAACTCAGAAAACTCAATCACTGTCTTACTCAGGTCATAAAAATAATCATTGGTTGACTAAATTTATGGGATGAGATATACCCGTGAAGAATCACAGATGCTACCATAGTCAGTGTTAGAATGAATGTTGTTTCAAAATGTGCATTTCTTTATTTCAATAGATTATCATAATTTAGACTATGATCTAAGTAATGATAAATACTAACATAAATCTCTGAGGAACTTGAATCTGAAAAGTTATATGAAGGAGGAGAGAGGGAAAGGGTTTAAATCCTAGTTATGTCCTTTCACTAGGCACGCATTCTTCTCTGTGGAGAGTGCTGCACAACATTGTGACTATAATTAAAGACACTGAATTTTATACTTAAAAATGATTAAAATGGAAAGTGCTATGGTGTAGGTGTATTTGGATGTATATACACACATAGAGCAATTTCAAAGAGAAAAAATAAGGTATGATTACCTTGCAAGTTATCGTTAGGGTGAAATGGCCTAATGTATTAAGTGCTTCGTGTGTATATTGATCGGTTAGGCCAGTAAAGGAAAAGTTGGATTCTAATGAGCTCAGAATGTTTCAAATGTGAAATTTTGAGTTCATGAACGATACTTAACATCTATTCTCAATGGCTTCTGGTGCCCACGCCAATATTCCTGTACCCATCCCCGTGCCTACAGCATACTGCACATCAAAATGACTATCATTCATTTACAAATGCATATCCAGAATCATGTTTCAGTATTTTCTCCAAGTATAAGATGAAGCTTCACCAGCATTTCCAACTGTCAGAATAATCTATGATACATCTCTCTTTATAAAATATTCTACATAGGAAATTTAACCTTGGGTAAATATATCAATCCCTCTGACCTTAAGTATCATTGTTTGTGAAATAGAGAGATGATGACTTGTCTCTTTACCTACCTCCCTGATGTCTCAAAGTATGCACGATCATGAAGATTATATTATCGCACAAAACATAATTTTCCTTGACCAAAAATTTCAGGGCAAGTGTTAAGTGCCAGTATTTCCCATGTATCTATTTAGTGGGAAAATTTGACAGATAACCAAATTCTAATGTTTAGAATTCTGAATTGAGGAAATCATGAGATTGATTCTTTGTGTGACTTGTGAAAACTTTCATTAGTTCTTTCAACTAATATTTATTGATGGTGACTTTATTCTAGTCTCTGTGGGCACTTCCTTTTAAAACTTTACAAAGAAATATCTATGGAGAAAAGGCAGATAAGAATAAGTTATATTGAGTCCTGTGGAAATCAGTTCCTTTATTTTAGAAGCATGTATATATATATATACTTTAATATACATATAAGCATACATGATTTTAATTTTATCACAGAGAAGAAAACTGTGTCTCTTAACCTTAGTAATGGAAATTGACTTTGTGTTTATATGGTAAGTCCTAATTGACAAGGAGCCTCAATATAAGCAGTGCTGTAGCTCCTGAGTTTATGTTAATGTTTAAATATATGCCACATATTCATGTACCTGGAATGGTACCATTTCTAATTTTCTTTTTCTTTCCCCAGTGCTTCTACTGAAGGATTACTGAATCGTCAATGCATTTCATGTAATTTCATGAAAGAACAATGTACATATTTTGGTGCCAGTTTTAGTCCTATGAATCAACATTTCCTATTATTCTGTAAAGGTAATAAATTATTTTATTTGATCAGTATCTATTACCATCACAAGTAACTATTACTCTCTAGCTATATGATTTGATACTCTAAATTTGTTTGTAATAAATTATGAATTTACTGAGATAAAAATTGCATCTTCATGTAGAAAACATAATTGGGAGTCAACATTTACTCGTGACCACTAAGGGCTGTTTGAACGTGAACTGTTTAAAAAAGTGAACAAGCATATTTACATCAGCAAAGTCCTGATACAGCAATAAAGTAATTTACCTAGTCTTTAGGGGAAAAAAAAAAAACAGCCCTCTTATTGAAATATTGGCTTGGCTGTTAAGAGGTTTAGGTTCTACAGAAATTTAACTGCCTGGGTCTAGCATCCTGAAGTTCAGAGAGATTCACCCTAATTCACCCTAATTAGATCTATCAGGTAAAAATACTCTATAGTCTTATATAGGAGTATGGTATGTCTATGTTATACTGATAGGAATCATTGCCCCTTAAAAAGATACTGTAATTCTCAAAGATCAGATGGGAGACATCTGTCCCTTATAATGTGATGGACTGAGTGTTCTTGCTTTAGCTGGTACCTGAAGCTGTCCTGTTTTTAAGACACCCTGAGGAATAAATCAACACATGCTCTTTTTAGTTTTTTGGTTTTTTTTTTTCCTCTTGGTATCTAAAAACAAAGTAATCAAAAAAGTACTTGTTTGATGACATCAGGGAAAACCATTAGACCTCTAGTTATAGTTCTGCAGAGGAATAAAGCTTCAAGATCACATCTTACAGTTACCTGAATTAACTAGTATATCTGAAATATTTGGTGATTCCAGTTAAGGTATTTTTTTCAATTAGTATATAATTAGAACCAAATTTTTATTCATCTTATGGATGAGATATTTCCATTCCAGAGTGTGCATCCTTTCTTTCTTGGCTGAGTGGAAACAATTTAATTTTGGATGAACAAATGAGGGGTTATGATTCAGCATTCTGAGTATCACTGACTGTTCTATAAAAGAGTAGTGAAAGAGTAAGGAACTTAAGATTGGGAACCATAGAAATGTAGAAGTACAAAGGCATTTTGGAGAAGGGAAAAGCTTAAAAATAATCTATGCAAATGGTTTCTTTCCCCATATATTCTTTTTTTAATAAAATAGCCATAGGTAGTGATTAAATGTAGTTATCTGGTTTCTGTTTCATTATGTTTTTAATATGAAATATTTCCATTTGGAAAAAATAACACTGTCATGAATTGTTACTCATATCTTTAAAATATTTATACAAATTTTTAATTTATACATATTTTTAATATGTATGTTTTTAAAATCCAGGCCCAGGCATCCCAATGGTCAGTCTCCATAGCACGGAAAACCCAGCAAGTAAGTACACAAACAGGACAATGTAGAAGAGTCATGGTGGGTACTGGTATGAGGTATTATATATTCTGAGTGTCATATTCTTATAGAACCTTTTTCAAAGGTGTTTCCAGTATGGGGAAAGATGAGTAAGTACCATCAACTTGACCTTGTTTATGTAAGAGAAACAGTAAAGCAAGTGGTTTGAGCCATGTTACAGCTGGAATTGAATCTTGCATGCCTGAAATAGGGTGTCTACTGTATCTAAATTGGTGAGGCCTGATTGAAGAGGCCCATTTAGGTACATTTCAGCCTACTAGCCCCTTAGTGCTCTGGTTCATGTTTTTCCTGGGCTTCATATAGATTATTCCTCCTTTTTGTGTACATTTGGGAAAAATATGAAAAATGTTACTTTTTATATCCATTTCCAGATATCCAGGGATTTCTAGTTTTATACATTCATTTATTCTTTTATGTATTTAACTCTGTATCATCTATTGAGAATTTACTTTATCAAATAATAGGACAGAGGTTGGCTGGACCTTGCTTGTCCTATATGGTCAACGTGTTTAAGAAATTAGTAGAGTACATAAGTAAATGCATGCTTGATTGAAGCTTGATTGAAGTAATTTTCAAAATGAATAGCCAGATACTTCCTGTCTTCCTTTCTTCCATGTTTCTTTCCCTTCTTTAAATTTTATTTGATAAATACTCTTCTGGTCTAATGATTTACATTTGGCCACTAGGATCTAATAAATCCTATATTTATCAACTTATTTCTCAGAACACCCTCTGAGATAATTTATTATCCTCTTTTAAGGATGAGGAAACTTAGTCACAAGGAGGTTAAATAACTTGCCTAATTCATACTAATAGGTAGCAGAGCCAGGAATCATGAGACGTCTGACTCCAGAATAGGATTTGTAATTGATGTAGGAGACTTAGAAAGGAGAATGAGTCATTATTGCTTGGTGTTAGGGGTTCACACTGGAAAAGGATCTAGGGTCCATGTTCCTTTAGAAATCCAGGGTAGGGTCCAATCAAAGGTGAGTGACAGGTGAATAATAGTTGTTCTTTCATGAATCATCAAAGGTAGGAGGTATTGATGCCAGTGTCGGCGGAGGTCTATTTGAAGCTAATGTCCTGGAACATGTTTGTTTGGGATCCAGTTCTTAGATGTTAGTTATCACGTGGTAAGGACCTAGGACAAAACCCAGAGAATGATTAGCTTTTTTGCTTCCCCTTAAAGTGGGAACATGGCTTCTTTGGCGTGTTCAGAGGCAAAATATAAAAATGTGGCCTAGCAGAAAAAACAGCAGATACCTAGCCTCTCTAAAATGGATTCCCCTCAGTTTTCCTACTTCATAATCACAACTATAAGATGGAAACTTATTGTGCTTTTGTCTTTCACATCTTGTATTTAAGAAGGAGTCTTACTTAGATGCCTTGACATAATGGAGATGCAGGCATTAGACTAATGTTGAAAGACAATATTATTTTTAGAGAACAGAGGAAGACCGTTTATGCTCTTCAAATACCAACATATGGAGATTTCCTCCCTGTTCTAGAAAAAGACAATTGCTTAGTTTGTAATGGAGTTTTGTGTGGTTGGGAATAGGTGAACATATCATTTAGTTTCTAGTTATCAGTATACATTTTAAAGAGGTTATGGTAAGCAAATTAATCTGTTCAGTATTAATGCTAATGTCAATGATAATAGAATATTTGATAAAATAGAGGCTAGCATTTTACAGATTATGAGTTCATTACATACCTTTTGTGAGATCTGAGACAAATTAGCATCACATAGGATCAATTTCCTTGTAGGCAAATTAGCAAATGAATTTTTCAGGAAGATGAAATATATTTGCAACATAGGATGCACTGAATATGTATTATATTGCATATTCTGCCAAAATAATGATTTTCTAAAAATTTCCAATCTGACTTTAACAATGTTTTCTAGTAATATCTACTGCAAACAATGAAACATTTTTGTTATGAGTGAAATAAGCCAATTATGATTATCTCAGGGTCAAAAAAAAACAAAAAGGGGCATGTGGAGTAGTCAGGTGCTTAATTTTCTTTTTAAAAGACATGTATTGAGATAAAACACATTCAATATCAAGTAAATTTGGGGGTTAATGGATTTTGTATTAATCTTTGTTACACTAATGAACTAATCATAATTCATTTGGGGCCACATGAAGTAAAATAGGATATGAAAAGAAAAATGAAAATAACAAACATGAAAACCTTTAAACCTAATAGTTATCAAAGAAATGCAGAGTGAAACACTGTCATATAATTTTCCAAACAAATTAATAACATCAAAAACTTACATTGCTAATAAGGATATACTCTCATAACTTGCCGGAGGAAATATAAATTATAGCAATCTCTTGGAAAAAATAAGTCATAAGCCTTAAATGTTCTATACCTATATACCTGGTATTTTTTCTCCTAATGATTTATACTGAGGAAATCATGCTAAGTAGAGAAAAATCTAACAGCATTATTGATGATAGTGGGGGGAAAACATAAATAATAAAAGAGGGGGATTTGTAAATAAACTTTAATTAAATATTAATTAGTGCCCTGAATATTTTCCGATTGTCCTCCCAGAACCACTGGATCTCAGTTTCTTTCCTCTTTGGTTTCTGCCTCAGAAGTTATCTATACGGATGACTTAGGTTCTGTTCCATTTGGCTGCCAGTTAGTTTCAGCTAAAGTGAATCTCCTGGATGACTGAAGAGAGGGAGAAAAGAGGTTTTGGGAATATCTATTCTTCCATCCCTATCTATCCCTGTGGAGTTACCCCAGGTTGCCACAACTCCTAGCTGAAGGTCACATTGGATTCACACCATCACTGCTCTCTGCTCTTGACATGCAAGCATAGCCACTAAGCCCTGGGTTACTGCCCCTTATGAACTCCTGTCCATTGTCCATATATTTGTAAATAGTTTTTCATTAAAATGTTATCAAATTATTCTAAGTCAATATCGGTTTCCTATTAGGATTAAAAATAAAGATGTTTACAAAGGACAATTCTTCAAAAATGTTTAAACTATATTTTTAAGTGATCAAGGAGTCCAGATGTTTATGTCACATTAACAAAACTGTTTGAAATGCATCTAAAATTGTAAGAAAATAATACAAATGTTAAAATTCTTGGATTTGCTTAGCAGCCTTCCAGGTGACCTTTATTCTTTCTTCTTGAGTATTCCCTAACACTCTACAATGAACATGTATTGCATACATATACATATATATACATATATATATATATATGTATGTGTGTGAGTGTATATATAAGTATACATATATATATACAAATACACATATATATGTGTGTGTGTACATATGTATGTATATACACACATATTACTTTTTGAATGAAAAAGAAACCCTTCATTAAAATGCTCAGTGCCTTGAGAGGAGGTATAAATATGTAAAACGTTAGTTATTTCAAAAATCCTTTATCTCATATTATTACCATTTTCTCTTTCTTCTTTTTACATTTTCATCTTTTCTTTCTCCTTAATTTAGCATATATGATTGTCTCCTTCTTCCCATCTCATCTCGTGTTCTCATCTCTCTTTACTTCTCTTCTACTTTCTTTTCTTTCCCTTTCTTCTTCCCAATTTTCTGTTTTCAATTTCTTCTCTTAAGATCACATCTTAACATTTCTTCCTGTTCACACTATTTTGCCAAAAAACTGTGTATTGTGTTTTTGGAATTTATGAAAAAAAATGCTACCAGCTCTTAATATTTTCAAAATGGCTTTACTATGTCCTATATTTTTTTCTTACAATATTTGTTTAAAATAGAATTGACTTTTTTCCCCCATGCCTAAATGAATGGCCTTTTTATTTAGAAGTAAAAAAAATTCTCAACTGCCCTGTACTCATGTATTTAGTTTATATGTAATTAGGTTTATTTTTTGCCATTGATATTTGATAATAAAGAGAAATCATTAGTATATAACACTCATTGGTGCCTCTGGCTGTATCTATTCATTTATTCATTTGTCAATTAGCCATGTTAATAAACCACTTGTCATTTATTTAAAAAATAGCCAAAAAGATGATCTGCTAGAGGTATAAAAGTAAAAATTTAATAGGATTTATTCTTTAAAAACTGTCCTCCTTGTAGTTAGCAAATATCAGGAGACACTGGCTTCCTCTAAATACAAAACAAATGGTTTTATCCACAATTAAGTGCATTTTTATGGCTATTCTTAGATTATAGATGCTGAATCTTTGATTAAGGTATATAGAGTTTAAGCATACACATTTTAATTTTTATAACAATATTTGGTATAGCTGCCTTGAAAATATCCTATTTGAATATCTGGAATTTCTTACATTTTAGTGATAGAAGAAACCTCTGAGAACATCTAATTTCCCGAATTTGTATTGTAGAGGATGGCACTTATTTACAAGAGATGTGGTTTGATGTGCCTGCAATCACACACAGAATTCAAAGGACAGTGCAGGAAACAGAAAGTTAGATGCTTCTAATTCCCTCTGATAGAAGTGGACACAATTTCAAGGAAGCAAGTCAGTAGAAAGGCAAAGAATGTGAATGTACAAAGATGAAGGGATGAAAATATTCAAACTTGCAAGATAAAAGTTGTTCCATGTGGCTGGAAAGAAACATTTAAGTTACAAGCAAAGATATATGTATGGGTGATAGGGGCAAGCTGGAGCCAGGTCATAAGTGTCTTATGTTTCATTCTAAGGAGTTTAGATTTAACAAAGTATCAACGATAGGGGCGCCTGGGTGTCTCAGTCTGTTAAGCATCCAACTTCGGCTCACGGCACCATCTCATGGTTCGTGGGTTCAAGCCCTGCATCAGGCTCTGTGCTGACAGCTCAGAGCCTGAAGCCTGTTTCAGATTCTGTGTTTCCCTCTTTCTCTCTGCCCCTCCCCCACTCATGCTCTGTTTCCCTCTGTCTCAAAAATAAACATTAAAAAAAAAATTTAAAGTATCAATGATAAACCACTGACAATTAAAGAAAGAAATTTGTATTCTGGCCATGGAGTCACTGAACTAAAAGTAGAAAAAGCCTCTTGCTGGGGGGGGGGGGGGGGGAGAAAGGAAAAGAGAAAAACTGGATAAAATAAATAACACTTTTAAAGCATCTGACAATAGTCAGGATAGGACTCTGATCCCTAGAAGAAGGGAAATTAGTGAGATTAATGTAATCGCCCTGGCTTTCTGACTGGAATCTTTTTCTGAATCTCAGTGCAATGAAGAACAATCCAAGAAGAGTACAGTGGTATCTCAGAGTCATACTAAAGACAGAGACTGGAGTTCAGAAAGGTTGAAGCTTTGGGAATGTTGAGAAGATGGGCAAATACAATGGATAGGAAGAGGCAAATGGGGACCAAACAAAACAAAACAGAAATCTTAATAGGGCTGTGGAGGATCATCTGATGTCCACTGCAGAAAACACCTAGCTGGGCAGACGTAGGAAGATGCTTTGTGAGCTTGGGAGAAGCCAGAGCTCAAAAAGTGCGGGGATATGATAAAAGTTCCAACCAGGCAACATACTAGAATGTTCTCCTAGGAGACAGCCCACAAGAGTCATGCCTTAGTAGTAGAGCAGCACTAGCCACATAGCAGAGGTCAACCAAACCCACACTAAAAAAGATATTTTTCAGAGCCTTGAAATGATTACGCTGAACTGCAAAGAGCTTAAACCTATGCCAGAACAAAGTCCAACAGTTTCCAAAAGAACAAAATCCAAAGCACTGTAAATATCATAATGGTCAGAATCCAATAAAACACTACTGGCTTTGTGGGGAAGCTAGAAAATGTGATGCATAACTGGGAAAAAAGCTAGTAAATAGAAACAGACGCAGAAATGACAGGGAGGGAACCTTCTGACAAATACAGTAAACCAGCTATTACATATATGATTTTGAAAATCAAGCAAAGGTTGAATACAATGTGAATATAAATAGAATACTTTCAAAGGAACTTTATGAACTTAAAATATCTGCAATAAAAACTTCACTGGAAAATACTGAAAGTATATTAGACACTACAAAAAAATCAGCAAAATTGAAACATTATCAAGAGAAACTTCCAAACACAAAAAGAACAAGAATGGAAAACATGAACAGAGCCTAAGCTAATGTAGGTCATGATCTGTATCTATGATATTTTTAACTGGAGTCAAAAGGAGAGGC